TAATCAAGTACATAAGAAACTTCACAATATCACTCAATACATATCAATCACTATTGAGAGTTTATCTATCAAATAGAAATAAATCATAACCTACCTCCACCGAAGAACCGAAGTCAAGCAAACTATTTCTCCAATGTTGTTCCTTTCCTTAACGGCTCTGAACGTTTCCTATCGATCAAGTATATATGCATAACTTGTAAGTTAACGAGTCTATAAATACTTAATTTATTCTATGTTTAGTCTAGACCCAAAAACTCATCTAATTATATAATCAATTTCCTAATGTTTAAATCTACGGGTAGGTCTTAATTCCCCGAATTAACATAACTTTAATGAAATTGAAATAATTCGATACACCTAATATTTAATTACCTATCATAATATACTATACTCAATTTATAATAGGATGATACGCAGTATATTTCAGATCAAGCCACTAATTTCGAATACTAGTAGTGAAACGTCTAACCTAATTTTATCATTATACAAAATGTATAAATTTATCATCCATCTGCCAATAGTTGATCAATCATTAACCATACTCCATATTAATACTATTTAATAATCATAATAGTTTATATTTGTTCAACAACACTTCTAATGACTATACTTCTCATACATTATATATATAGATATATATTTTGTATGTTTTGCCATCATCACATTGTAAAACTTTATAATTGATTGACACTTGTTTTTCAATTAACATATCATAGCAATATCCTCATCCACTCATTATTATACATTCATAACCAACTTTAATATTATAATATTATTAGAATATATGGATATCTATTTCATTATACTTAACTATACTAGCAAGATTTAATACCCCTCAACTACCCATTTTTATCGATAAAATATAATGCTAGATGAAGTTTTTACCTCTAGCCTTTTCTAATTGTCCCGTCGATGCCGCCAAGAACTCAAGAATAAGAGTTGCAAGCGGTTTTCGTATATGCCAATAATATTAATCCTTCTTATTATATAATTAATTATAAATATAGTAAAATATATTCACTATTAACTTTAAAGTTATATTTTTTAACCACCAATTAAATAAACTATTTAAAACTATCCCATTAATTTCATAACTATAATTATATAGTCCAAAACACCTATTTGAAATCTATCAAAAATTATTTTATAAAAGAAAAAAAGCTCTACTGCTCAAAACGACTGAATAGGTTGTTACAAATTTACCTCCTATTTAATATCACTTTAATTACAAGTTTTCCAATTAATCTCCCTCATATGTTTTAAAAAATGAAATATTTTTTCTCTCTCATATTTTCATCTTTCAATTCTTCTCCATTTCAACATCTGCATCTCTCTCTTCCTTCTTTTTTTTTTCCAGAAATAGAAAAATATATTTTATAAGATGTTCATACAATTCCTTTTACTAAGTTTTTCCTTTTTTTGGTTGATGATTTTATTTCTATTTTAATCGTTTAAAATTGTTGTTTGTAGTGGAAATCACATTTTGGGTTTGATATGTTCTAAATTACTCTCCAATTTAAGAATCTAAGAGACTTACTACGGGTATCAACTTAATCAACAATGTTCTATTTTTCAAATATCACAATTTTCTTCTTAGAACACAAATGACGACAGTTTTGTATGTTAATTCTTATACTTTTTATTTCAATATCAATTAGTATACATATAAGTTCTAGTTTTTTTTATATTGTATTCATCATAATGGTATACAAACAAAGTTACATTTGTATTTAAATCGAAGTGAATATTTATTGTGCTCATTTTGTATTTCAAACTCAATTTTTAATGACAACAAGTTTGTATTTCTTTTTATTATGTTTTCATCATAATTGTATACCAACAAATTTTATATTTATGTGATTACTTTACCATTCAATTAAATTGAATATCATATTGTGGTGAGTATGTTATTGTGATAATTTTGTATTTAACTCTCACATTGTATTCATAAAAGTTTGTATTTTTTTGTGCTCATCATAATAATATACCGAAAAAGTTAATTTTGTATTTCACTCGATGAGAATATTTATTGTGCTCATTTCCTATTTCAGTCTCAATTTCAATGACATCTTGTTTGTATTTTTTTGTTTGTTGTGCTTTCATCATAATTGTATATCAATAACTTTTGTATTTCTGTGCTCACTTTACCATTTAAATTAAAATTGGTATTTTTACTTTCATAATGAAACTAAAAATTGTATCCCAACGATCAAAATTGTATTACATAATTGCCAAATATATTTTTCTTTTATTAGTATTACAAAAGTAGTACAGATTGTATCCCAATATAATTTAATCATTACATATGAATACGATAAAGAAGGCATATGAATACGACAAAATAAAAATACAAAATTCTAAGAAAAAGAATAGCATACATAATGAAAATAATACAATATGTGGAGGATTGATACAATATTCTAAAAATTACAAATTGAGTGTGAAAAAATAAGATACATCTATGTTTAAGGAATACAAATCAATTTGACATACATATTGGAATGACTACAAACTAAAAAAAAGCTAAAATGTTCTTAACAAATATAAATGTTGAGGTAAAAAAAAATGATTGACAAACAAAAATTAATATGAATACATTTTTTGCAATCTTCTTCTCGGATTCTCTCCTCCTTCTCCTTCTTCGCCTGATATGTTTCTTTTTTTCCAATTTTTTGTTCACAAAAAACTCAAATTCGAATACATATTGACTTTTGCCTTAGTAAAACATTGTCTCATCATCCAAAAAAAATGCACGTTATTAGAATCTCGATCAGCAAGCTTTGATTGTGATACTAGAAATCTGATGAAGAAGAGGGTTCAAAAAGAAATATGTATTCTCTCTTTCTCTGCAAGCTTAATTGCATATTTTTTCTTAGGTCCTTCTTTATCCCTAAGTAGCTTTTGTATTGACAATGTCAAATGTTATTGAATAGGGAATTTCACATAATCTTAAAGGAGTAAGATCATTAAGAAAGTTAATTTTGACACTAAAATATGATCCATTGAAGATGTGGTTAGATTTAAAAAAAGCGATTTAATCGAATTCATTTCAACAGAATTGAGTATTATCAATGAATTAAAAATGGATGCTAGAAAATTGATGAACAAGTGCATGAGTCCTCTTTATTTATTTATGTATTTTTAATATGTATTTAGTTTTGAATTTTTATAATTGATGAGACTTTTAAGCAATTGTTCCCTTTTAAAAAATTTGTCTCCCCTAAATTTCTCCTTTTTAATTCAAAAATTGTATTCTTTAAACTAAAACAAATAATAAAAATTTAAATGAGATACATAATAAACTAAAATTTTGACAATTTTACTAAATAATAAAAGTTTTGGCAATGATTCCTATTAAATATTAAAATATTAAAATTTTAAAAAATTTCCCATACAAAAAATGTCCAAAAAGTAAATGGGCCTTGCCTATGTTTTACGCCTACTGGAAATCACTTAAGGTACTGGGCCTGTTTGCCCTTTAGAAATCTGCGTATACATTTTTTGTGTATACCACGTACGAGCCGTACCCTACTCATTTTGAGTATTCCAAAACTTTTATTTTATTGAACTTAATTATTTTGCTTTTTTTCAACCTGCATTTCCATGTTTTTCACCTGTATATTGTATTTTCTTATTGTATATTGGTGTATACAGAGGTATATCACCCTGTTTTCAGCATTCCGGAATCTGATAAATATGATTTCCATCCCTGTTTTCAGCTTTGCTAAACCTGTTGACCCGATAAAGTTATTTTGGGACGATATGGCCATAAAGGGATGCGGGACATAAGCTAAAGTCCATAGGACTCATTTGGAGAGATTACATGCACCAAAAGATAACATATAAGAACCAATACGAGTCAAAAGAAACGAAAAGAGAACAAGATGATTACTTTACCAATGTCCTAAGTAAACAATCAATATCCAATCAAAATTCATATTTAGCAATTTTTACAAAGAAACGCAAACAAATCTTTAAGTAACAAAGAAGATAAGCAAGACATCTGAATCTTAACATATTTTCATGCTTAATTCAACTTAAACCTCAATCATATTAAGACTCTATCAAAACTGGACCTCCAAACTAACATGACTCATCATGTAAAGAATATGACACTAACTTCTAAACTTAACCATTACTAAAAACTTGAAAATTTGAACAAGTTAACATGCTGAGATATTCAAAAGACGAATAATAGGCAACAATTTTGGAAGAGGACATGAATTGGAGCAAAAGAAACTTAAAACAAGAGGCAACATGAACTCACATTTTATCAATTTAGATACAAACTCATGTCAAAGTAATGGGCAAAGTGAAACATGATAATATCTCACACATGTCATCCAGAGCAACATATACCGAAAGATCAAGGAATGGAGGAAGCCAAATTGATAAAATGAATATCATGTACACTACATGTAACTCACCATATCGGTTAACTTGGAACCTTAGACCAACGCGAATAACAGTATGGACAATAGCAAACTAAAGCATCACAGACGCTTGACGACAATACATGAAATAACACAATTTCTATAACATTCAAGAAGAAGTCTCAATAAATGTTATATTCTAGGTATTTTGATTATCCTCACAATTGTAGGGGACCTGGTCCCTGGCAGAGTGTTCTCACCCTGATTCAAATGAGGTACATGTATAAATCTGTCATGTCAGGTGGTTGGTGAAAAGTGTAGTGTCCTACACTAATTCGAGGAACAGAAAAAATTGTTTGTTTCAATGGCTCACAAATGCAGGGACCTAGTCCATGATAGAGTTCTCTCCATCTTATACATAAGTGTATACAACTTTAAAGCTGTCCTGTCAGTGGTAGGTGAGGCGCCAGCGTATACTTAAACAATCAGAATAGAAGAGGTCGTTTGTCCAACGGTTAATAATTCTTTATGGTTGATACTTTGAACATGACAAACAACATATTATGTTCATTCATTCAAGAAGAGAGAGAGCCAGAAAGTCTTTGTGAAGAACTCAAGCATCAAAGAATGCAAAAAGGGACCTGGTTCCAGAAAGTGTTCGTACATGAAAAGGATGAAAAAACAACTGTTAAAAGTCTGCCAACTCTGATGTGGTTGGTGCACAACCTTTGAGAACAACAGGCTCTCAGCCAATGGCCTTGTCCCAAGAGTTTGTGTTCATTTAATATAGTTTCTTCTCATTCAACACAAACTTAAGATTTATCAAACAAAAACTTGAACTTTCTCTGAAAAATATAGAAGCTTGAGTTTGAGTTTTGTGTCTATCATTTTATAAGTTTTTCCAACTTGAAAATTCTCAAGAACAGTGCAAAGACTCACTTTGAAGAAGTATTCTCCGGCAAGCACAACATGGACCTGATCAAGCTGCAAGCATAAAAGTGTGTCTTAGGAGTTATACTCTTGTTCATGTTTTGTAAATATGTTCCTAGTCTATAAAGGATTAATATATTTGCTTTTGGTTTGTAAAGTCTAAATTAGTTATGTTTAGTTGATTTAGTGGGCAACATTTTTTTGTTGCTTAGTCAAATTCTACATCATCTAGGTGGTATGGTTTAGTGGGTAGTGTTGTATCTACTTAGTCAAATTCTAAATCATCCGGAGCGTGGTGGTTTAGTGGGTGGTGAGATATCCGCTTAGAAAATTCTTAGTTATCTTGGGGTGATAGCTTAGTGGGCGGTGTTGTATCCGCTTAGGCTCTACAAGTAATAGGTAGATTACTTGATTGTGAGATTAATAACTTTTACTCATGTTGGTTCTAATTGAGTTTTACTTTTACTTGAGAAGATTAGTGAAAATGATTGATAATCCTGTGCAACATATCATTGTTTTACTCCCTTGAGAAAAGAGGTTTCCACGTAAACTGCTTATGTTGCGATCTCCTTTTAGTTTACTGTTCTGTATTATTCTTACTGTGTCAAGGGACCTGTTCAATTGACTGATAATACACGACTACATTTCATCAAGAAAGGATAAACAAACTCAAATAAAGCAGTGGAACAAACACCTACAAGTCTCCAAAGTTTAAGCCCGCCGTTGGACTCACTCATGGAAATGACAAGAGTATATACTATCTACTAAAGAACATCATGAACTCAACTAGGAATAACAATAAACAGCCACATGACACAGATTCTCAACTTCAAACGGAATGATACTTAAACATATGAGGGGATGATAAGAATATTATATAAAAAGAATGTTACCTTTTTTTCGTAGATCAGAACCAAGACTAGACAAGTAGAGGGGCAACAACTTTACCACAAATGGATCTTTACCGGATCCCAACAAGCTTCGATGAATTTGAATGAGAAAATCACTAAGCTTGTGGACTCTTAGTATATGTTTTCCGTAGCTATTCTTGGAGATTTTATATTTGTATGTCTATTTCTTTTGATGAAAATTCCCTCTGTTTTAAATAGTAAATTAGCAGCTCCAAAAAAAATCCCCCTTTAACGTTTATGGAAGATGAGTATTTATAGGAGATTAAAAGAACAAATCGGGTGGGTGGGTAGAAATTGGGGTGAAATTTTGAATTCCAAATTTGAATTCTATGTTTGGATCAGGTTTGAGAAGCTGGAATTTTACTACTCTTCAACAGAAAAACAAAGAAAGTTGTCCGATTATGAGCAATGAAGAGGGAGGCGCTAAAATTGCGACACCCGAATTATTCCTGTACGAAGAAGATAAGGGAGAGAGAGAAAGAAGATGTAAGAAATATCATTTAATTATTATTAATTATTTCTTACTTATAGCCCAAGTTTACTTGTAATCCAAGTAATACCATAAACAATATTTAATAAGGAATAGATCTTGTCTGTACATTGGTTACTTGATGGAAGTACAAGATTGAATCATAACCTCTACAAATTGGTCCTCCCTTCACCCATTACGGTTATCCAATATTCTCTACAATAACTTCATCGCTGACAGTTGTAGTAAAATAAAGTTAGGTAAAGGAGGTAGAAACCAAATTACGACTAATGCTTCAACTTTTCTCTGTGATGATGTCTTCTTCATCAGGTATAGGCCATAACAATCTCTATGTAATATTATCATGTTCAAGATCTGAATATTATGTTATAAAGTATTTAATCTTTACATGTGACTTCAGAGTCTGGATTGTTTGAAGGGATAATTTTCACAAATTATATAATCGCATCATTTCAAACCCAATGATGATTAACATAGAGACCAGTCAAGTATTGATGTGATTTTTGAATTAAATCATTTAATCTGTTAGGTTTGATTTTGTGGAGACTTTGCTTTACATAAATCTTTAGTTCTTATAACAAGAAGTAAAATCTATTGTTGTATTATGTTTAATCAAAACGATGTATACATAATTACATTGATGGAACCTATTATATTCCATGTGATTCATATGTGCAAATTGAACAAAGAGTGCAAACTAGAAAATAAATGTTTACTTATATTATATTTATGATCACTTGGCATATGTGGATTAATGCAATTGAATATTTATTGGCAGAAAATATTCTAAGAGAGATTGGGTTTGATTTTTCAACTTGATGCATGTATTATGTTTCTACAGTTTGTCAGTCACAAAAGTGACCAAACTTAAATGTACAGTTTTTAGTTACCAAAATAACCAACCTAGAGAAATTAATGTCTACACATATCATGTTTATGTTCAGTTGATGCATGTATTATGTTTCTATAGTTTGTTAGTCACCAAAGTGGCCAAACTTAATTGTTTGAAATTATTCACATGCACGAAATTTTAAAATGTTATGTGGCTTTGTATTTATATAGTTTGGTAGTCACCTAAGTGGTTAAACAAGAGAAAATTAACGTCTGCACATATCATGTTTATGATCACTTGCTGCATGTATTATGCTTATATAGTTTGTTAGTCACCAAAGCGGTCAAACTAAAATGTTTAAAAAATTATCCACATGAATAAAATTTTATGAGATTATGTATGAATTTGTATTCGTATAGCTTATTTGTCACCAAAGTGATCAAACTTGTATGGTTAAGAAAAATATATACTCATAAAATTGTCATTTATCTATATGAAGATTAATTACATGCCTATATTGAAAAATAAATAGATAAATTGAGTTTCACTATTGCTAGAACTTAAGAATGTTTTACCCAAAGGTGAACCTATCATTTTATGAATAGTGAAAATTATGAAGTAAATTAATATTTCAAATCAAACATTTATTGTAAATCCAAAGATGTCTATATGTTTGGTTAAAATTATTTAATTGCGTATTAATTATTTTAAAAATGACATTTAAATTATGATAGTATGTGGTAGTATCTACCCAAAGGAGAATTGCGATGTACTTTTATCGTTTTATTGAATTCACATTATTTTTTATATATGAGCATGTATATCTATTTGCAGTTACTCCTCTTCATTTATATGCTTCGTCTGCTATTGTGTTCAATGGATTTTACTTCTATAAATGACATAAACAAGTCTAGTTCCACTTGGGTGTGATGGATCTTGACTTGGTTCTGTTGAATGATAAACCTATTGCCATTACTTCTAAGAACAGTGAGGAGGATAAGTCTTTTCATAAATCATAGGAACGCTCTAACAGATTGATCCTTATGTTCATGTGAATGATTGTTGCTAACAACATTATCAATTCGATAAAGTGAGTTCAAGAATATAATTCCACGGTCTTAGAATTTCAGACCAATCACAAAACACACAACCAAGCCACGCACAACCACACAATCAAGTACATAGAAAACTTCACAATATCATTCAATGCATATCAATCACTATTAAGAGTTTACTATCAAATAACATAAACCATAACCTACCTCCACCGAAGAGACGAAGTCAAGCAAGCTAATTCCTGAGTGTTACTCCTGTCTTCAGTATCTCCAAATATTTTCAATCTATCAAATATAATAATTCGTAATTTAACAAGTTCATTGAAACTCATATTACTATATGTCTAGACTAGACCCAAAAACGCAGCCAAATCTATAGTTAAATTCCTAAACATAATACCCACTAGTTCATCAAGTCTCATGTCTTAAATTTTAGGCGTAACGTTAAGTCTATATTCCTCCAACTAACTTATCCTAATGATATTCATATTATAATACACCTAAAATTTAATTATATATCTCAATATATCAAAACTTGATTTGTTTTATGTTACCAAAGTTATAATAGATGAACTCCTAAAATCCTACGATCTACAAGTATATATATATACCCTGGTCCTATAAACCCTGCTTCGCCAACTTCCAACCACCCAATAGGAGATCTACATCTTCTCCCACAAAAGAGCTTCATATGGAGCAATTTAATTGCTTGATGGTAACTGTTGTTATAAGCGAACTCAATGAGAGGTATATAATCATCCTAATTTCCCTTGAAGTCGATCCCACAAGCTCTCAACATATCTTCTAAGGTCTGGATAGTGCGCTTTTCTTGTCTATCTGTCAGAGGATGAAGAACAGTACTCAAATTAACCTTTGAACCCAAACCTTTCTGGAAAGATTTGCAGAATTGTGCATTAAATTGTGCACCTCTATCTGAAATAATGGAGACCAGAACTCCATGAAGTCTTAGCACTTATTGAAGGTACAACTTACAATAATCCCCGGCCGAATAGGAAGTCTTTACCGGTAAGAAATGGTTTGACTTTTTCATTCTGTCGACAATCACCCAAATAGAATTATGTTGCCTTAGAGATCTTGGCAAGCTTGCAATGAAGTCTAGATATAAATCATCTCCCACTTTCATTAAAAAGGTTCTATATTCTGAGCTAAACCTCCAGGCCTTTGGTGCTCCACTTTCACTTGCTGACAATTTGAAGACTTGGCAACAAACTCATCCATATCCTTCTTCATACCTTTCCACCAATATACCTCTCTCAAATCACGGTAAATCTTGCTAGAACCTTTATGAATGGAATATATGGAGCTATGAGCCTCCTCCAAGATCCTCTCTTGGAGTCCATCCACCTTAGATACAGATAATCTGCCTTGGTACTTCAACACACCATCTCCCCGTTGTTCAAAAGCCAATACTCTTTGCTTATGGACACTTGCCTTCAAATCAAGCAAAATGGGATCTTGGTCTTGCTTCTATTCACCTCTGACACAAATGATGATTTAGCCCCATTGATCACCACTATGCCTCCTTGTGCGGAATCCATAAGCCTGACTCTCAAACGTGCAAGTCAGTGAACATCCTTAGCTAACTCCCTATTCTCTTCTCTGACATGGGAAGTACTTCTCATGGAAAACTTGATTAAGGAAACAACAACCACATTTGCCTTACCTGGGTGGTAAAGAACACTCATGTCATAATACTTGGTTAATTCCAACCACCTTCTCTGTTTGAGATTGAGTTCTTTTTTAGTGAACTCATATTTGAGGCTCTTGTGATCAGTGAATATATCAACATTAACACCATACAAGTACTGACGACATATATTCAAAACTAACACCACTACATCCAATTCTAAGTCATGCGTTGGATAATTCTTTACATCAATCTTCAATCATCTGGAGGCATAGGCTAGTTGAATATATTGTGTTTTTAGATCTATGAGTTAGTGTGATGATAATATAAAGTATCAGATACATGTTAATTTATTTTTATTTATTTTATATTTATTCTTTAATGTGTATCTTATTAGTTTTTAAATTTTTATATGGATATATAAGTCATGATACATTAATGGTTACAACGTGATACATTACTAGTTTGACATATGTAGTAATGAGTTTTTAGAGTTGTGAGTTACTGTGTTCTTGATATAAAGGATCATGATACTATAATATTTATGCATTTTATCGTGTTTGTGAAAAATGTATTTTATAGATGATACATTATACATGTAATTTTTTGTAAACACATCAAAATGTTCGTGAATGAGGGTATGTATTTTAATTTTTTATTTTATTTTTTTTAATTTTCTATATTCACATGTTATGAATTTTGTATAATAATAGATACATTATTGTTAATTAAACATTATAATGTATATGATTAAATTCTTCATTTGTTACACAAAACTCTAATTTTTTGTACATTTTGTTTATTTCTTATGATTTATCTATCGAGAAGTTAAAATGAAGAAAAATAAATAAGAACGGTTGATAATTATCATTAAATTATAAAATCTTGATTTTTTGTATCATTTATTTATTTTACCAGACAAAGTAATTTTTGTCATTTTTTTGTTGTAAATATTGTATGAAAATTTAAATTTAAAATTAGAGGATAATAACATATCTTATACATCATGATTGTGAATGACTATAATTTTATGTTAAAACATCATATATATATATATATATATATAAGGAAAGACAAAATAATATTTTTGATATATTAATTCATGTAAATGATGCATGTCGAAATATACATTGTAGTGGTTAAATATCAACTGTGTCAATAACTTAATAAACAACGTATTGAATGATAAAATTATGTGATACTTAAATTTATAAAGCTTATCTATATCAGATTATTTTAAAGGTACCCTATTTTGTATTGTATGCCACAAGCGCTATAATTACAACAACAAAAATTAAAGAAAAATATACACAGTGAGATTAAAAAATAATAAAGTTTATAGAGAAAGATTCTAAAACTTAATTTAATGTATTTTTTAAAAAGTAAAATATTCAAATGGATGTGTCCACAAATAATAATGACAATTCTATAAAACTTGATACATTATGTATTG